TGTTTACTATAACTTATCACTGCATATTATGCAGTTGACACAATTTATATAAAAACGACAGCTAAGCAAATATTTTCCTTCTTCATAGACAATGACTAAAGACAGTGTCTGTACATTTCCTCTCAATACACCTGTGTCAGTCTTGTCCGACGGAGCCAAATCTTCTAAATTTTTTACCCTTGCCAACAATTTACTAATGATACACTCATTAGGAACACATATGACTGTTGAAGGTGATTGGATTACGGTTTCTACTACAGAATCCTGATATTCCCCGAATGCAAGGGAACAGCCTGGACATAGTTCAGTCACAGCAGATCTGAAATGAAGGCAAGTAGCTTACAGAAATGCTCGGGAAAAAGGAAGTAGGCTCTGTATCACAAAGCATCAGCCTAAGAACCCTCAGAGGAAGAACATTCCCAGCATGAAGAATTAAGTGTTTAACTTGATGTGAAAAGGAAAAGTCACAGTATTAGTCACATAGATTTTGCTCCGTGTTAGCACTGACAGCTGCCATCAGCTTAACTAATTTCCTTCCGGCAAAAGTTCTACATATTGCATATATTAACTAGATAAGCTTTGGGAATTCTTTCAAAACATTATAGGCAAATGCTTCACTTATACAACTACATGAACAGACTCAAATACACAGCTGCTAAAAGCCCGCACCTGCCAAAAAAAACAAATAACCCCCCCCCCAAAACAGAGTATAGTTCATATTTTAAATTATTAGAAGACTGAAGGAAGTTGGAAACGAATATAGATATCCTAATATGAAGATGATGGTCAAATGGCATCTATTATTCAACTGTGAGTTGGTTCCACATTCTTTTACTCATGTATTTTATCCTTATCACCTTATCTCCAGTAATTGCACTTTGGATTTGTGACACATTTCTGTGTTTTATTATATACAATAAAAATCAAACAGCCTGTAATCATTCAAGGATTCAAAAGAACAGCTGCAACCACCACTAAGATGAGCAACTAGAGTCGTTCTGCACACAGGGAGAGAGCAGGTTTGACACACGCCATTTAACATAAGAAGGATACTTTTTTTTTTCTTCCTATTGCAGCCTTGCATTCTAATGCTCCAATGTACAACTTACAACATCAGAATGTCTTTTAAAGGCAGCTGTAGCATCCATGCTCTTCCTGTAAAAATGTTAAAATGTGTGGCTTCCTCTTGCAGAGGAGACGGTCACAAAGCTGTTAGTGTTCTCAGAGACTGAAAGTAACAAATGTAGAAAAATCAGTCCCTCCTGGTCAAGAAGAGTTACGGCACCTCCCTGAATACAGGAGCTGCTCAGTGATTTTTTGCTTGTAACCTTTTTCTTTCGCAAGCCACAACTGAAATCACACAAGGTGTAGATTACCGAAATTACTGCAATATTGCAAAGATTCATGTATCCGTCTCAATCAAATATCCTAAATCTCCTCTGAGATACATGCAAGGATCTATTTTCCAAACAAATTTGAACTTGTGTTCACTTTGGAGAGGACTAGTAGGTTTCTTAACATTTTGCTCATATAAAGGATGCAGTGCAGATGAAGCAGAACTATCATTAAAAAATAAAAAAATCATTAACCGCATTTTAAGCAATGCAGAGATGAACTGCATAAATTTCAGGCACATCGCAATCACAAAACCAGGATAAAAATCACTTGGAGAAATAGAGGCAAAAAATCAGAAGTTTTAGAACAAACTCTATAAGCTTTGTTTCCAAAACACACACAACACAGCAAGACTAGTGACAATTAGCACAATAACTACGACTATGCACATTAATGTTGTTCCAGGCAAGGCGGTGTCAGAATGACTGGTCATAAACATAGAATTTGCTGTAATACAAACGCTCTACCTTAGTAAATACTGTAAGTTGAATTGCAAGTAAAAATGGAGGGGAAAAAAGCCGCCACGTAGCATATTCACTCAGTTTTCCATTAGTCCTCATGTAAAAAACCCAAACAATCATAAACAAACAAAAACAACCCATGTCATTGCAGTTAGTATGGATTAAGCTGAAGAAATACATGAAGTAGAAAGTAAAATGGGTCTGTTTCTGAAAATACAATCCTTTAAGAATTATACAACCTATGTCTCATTTTGCTTTTTCTTAGTACACAACCAGTAAATTCTCTTGTGTCTCACTCCGATTCAGATTTGGGCAAGTATTTGAAGTGAAGGCTACATTGGTACCTTCAATGTATCTGTAAAATGTGATATTAATTTTAGATTAAAAGACATTACAGAATAGCTTGAAAGGTTAGAACTAACTGGACAAATCCAAGTGTGGAGGGTCAAGTCAGCCAGACACAAGCAAAAACTTGCCAGTTTCAGGAAACAAATAGGACATTTCTTAGTCACCACTACTGCTGTCTTCCTGTTACAGAAACAAGTTAAGCAAAAATGTGGATGGATATGTTTTTAGTTTAACTTTTTTCCCCAATGTGACAGTAATTTTGAATTACTAAGCTGCTAATTGTCTTTAACGTACTGCAGCACATGCTGACGCTACAGGGCATTACAGCCCACAGCAACGATGGAGGAAGCTCTGTCATTGCACAGAACGTGCAGCTTGAGAAACAGGCAGAGGATCTGAAAACTGTGACAACGACCGCTGCAGGTAACTCGTGAGGTCCTCTCATACCCTACAGAAGGGAGAGAAAGATATCCTGGTACAAACTGTACGCTGTTGCACAGAAAGTCTAACATTAGCGGGCTGCAGTTTTTACTTCGTTTCAGTCATAGAACTACAGGACCAGGTCACTCTAAGTTAGAGTTACAATACATTACAGCTCTTGTCATATTTTATTCTGTCTTGTCATATAAACATGCTTTTGGAGAAACTGTCAAGTACTCAACAGCAACAATACTTATTTGTGTGTTTTAAGATAGAAGAAATACAGTGGAGTAATAAATAGCATGGGATGTAGTCAATAAAAACCCTTTAGCTTTTCAATAGAAGGTACTGGAAGAAAATAAATAATTTAATTATGAACTATAAGACACAAGAAATGCAAGACATAACTTATAAAGCGATATTACTCTGATAACTGGTAACTTACTTGGCCTGTGTAGAATTTATTTACATAGCTAAACTTTTTCTGATTAGTTATTTCCTCAACTGGTCAATTATTTACACTCCTTGCACATCAAAAAGGTACAGTTTCTCATCCTTTACTGAGCTTGTTACTGAATTTAAATTTCATAGGAACCCTAAGCATGTTTTTTTTGGTTTTGTTTAAAAACAACAATATAACTCACTTTTACAGAAGGTCATATTTTCCAAGCCAGAAAGCCCAGTATGTCCTCAGAAGTGCATGTATCAGAAATTGCATTCATACAATTTCCTGTTTCCCCCGCACAAATAAAAGCATGATAGATTACAATCGACTGAAGACAGAGTGACTTATTACTGTTGCTTGATTTGACCAGTACTTTTTTATTCGGCACATTGTTTACTTAAAATAAATGTACTCCCACTAAAATACTATTCTAGTTTTAATATTAAAAATATTTTAACTTATCTTACTTTTTTCTTTGCAAGTGGACGAATGAGTCACCCTACCTGGATTTTCTTTCACCTGCCACTTCACTCTGCCATATGCAAAGAAAAGAAAAAGCAAGCTAAGTTTTCATTTAAAGAAAAGAATTGTTGTGCAAAGGGAGTGCACTCATCTGAGCAAGTATATGTTTATTGTACTTAGTATTTTAATTATATTTGACATGGCCTTGACAATTACTCCCTTCAGAATTATAAAAGATATCTGCCAATCTGTTAGGAACTTCAGCTCCCACATTAAGGATAAGTGCAAAAATAACCTCTAAGAAATTCAAATTTGTTATCAGAAGTTGATACAAGATATAAAACCAACTTAATATGAGTTAATTAAAAAAAAACCTCAAGAATCAAATCAAATGTGCATACAACATACTCAGAAATAAAACCACCAAAAAGAAAAATGAAACAAACTAAAAAACTACTTTGAAAAAAAAAATCATGTGAAGTACCTCTCCAGAAACACGTCAAAAGAGAATATGCTATTCAAATGACACATTTTATCTGTTACTTAATTTAATGAAAAGAGTTCAGGCAACGTACCACTATTCACACATCGTGGTAGGGTTTTTTATGATGTGCTGCTGTGATGCCAGACAGATACAGGATACAAGAGTTTTGGATCTCTCCCCTCTCACCTCGACACCGGAAGCACATCTATCTATTTATCCATCTGTCCACCCATCCATCTATCCTTCTATCTAATGTCAGTCCCTCCTGCCTCATAAAACAACCAAACCATGATCCATCAGATGGCTTGGTTCAGAACTCCATCCATCCGGACGCCCGTTACGTCATGGTGGTTTCTCTCCCAAGCTACAAAGCCTTCAGCTGCGAATCACAGGAAGGAAATACAGATTCCACAGGTCGTAGAGAAATCTGTGCCAGTGACTGAGTAGGCAGAATACTTATTGAAATTGGGGAATAAAACAATAGCATTGAAGAATGTCAAATAATGCAATACTGTAGAGTGTAGAAAATTAAGAACGTGACCATTCAAAGCTATTAAAATACTGTGCAGTAGGGCGTTGGGATCCTTTTGCACAGGGATGTTGCTCTTTCTGTCATCTCCTGAATTCCACTTTAGGTAACTTGATTACCCAAATTTTCTCTGCAAATATTAGACATTCGTTTCTCTAACATTCATCAAGAATTTTCCCAGATGTAAAAACTTTTATTTGAGAAATTAAATCACTCACATTTCTGTATTGTAATATATCTGGAGTCCAGATATTAAATGCAGAAGGAAAAACAGGGGGACCCCAAAGCTTTCAAGCATTAAAGTCTTCACTAGGAATGCAAAAGAAAATAATAAACTAATACTTTAAAATATGCATTTTATAAATTCACTGACATGCAGGTGTCACAGTTTTGCAAAACTTGAGCAACACTTCTGTTCCACCCCCCCACATATAAGTTGAAGCAGAAGTAACTTACTTGCAAATGTCATCTTCTGGGTCCTCAAGTCCAAATCTTTCATCAAAAGTAAGCTGTATCCATACATTTTCATCTACTGCTACTAATCTCCACACTAGTACAGTATTGCGTGGGTATGCGTGTGGAAACTTGGGGCTGTGAATAGTTCCATTAGTAGTCACAGTAATTATCTTCTCATGCTGAGGATCCTGCACGCCTATAGTAAAGACAGAAAACATTTGCATCAATACTTCTTCCTTCTCCTCTTGCTAAAGTGTTTGCATATTATGCATAGATAAAGACATTTTTGATTTCTTTGCTTTTCTTCATCTTGCAAGGAATTGCTGCTTGGAAAATCTATGTAGTAACAACAATCCAAAGTGACAAGTATTCCTTTGCTGGCAAAAAGTTATTCAAACCCAAGCTTCAACTGATGTCAAGAAAGCAGAACAGAAGTTCAAGTGAAGATAAAAGAAATGTGACCGCAAACACCTGAACGCAAGAATGGTCTCCTCACAGAAGTCTAGCAGCTCAGGGGACTGCACCATGCAGCCCTATGATGGTTTCAGTTCTGTATTTCTGGAGACTGCACAGAAAGGACACAGGGGTACAGTGAGAGGTCTGCTCACGTCTATCACAAAAGGGGTCGTTTAAATTTGTCTCTTGTTAATGGAGGCTGTCTTACATTTATTGAGTCGAGTGATAAGGATTTTGATAGCTGGCTCCTTCTTGTATCAGAATGAAGTTACCCCAGTATAGGAATGAAATTAGGACATGCTTGGGGAACTTGGCAAAGTCACAAAGTGTAAGAAATTAGGCATTTACTGACAAGCCTCAATCAACAGCATTCTTCAGAGTTCTTCACAGCATTGTTAGACTAAACACAAGTAAAACTAAATTAATGTTTTACAACATGGCAGCAAATGAATTCTAAAGAAATAAGCCAGATAGGGGTGATTTTAAAAGCACAAAGTAACTCAAACTACTGAAAAGATCTCTTTGGATTATGAATTCATAAGTGGGAGGAGTTACCAGAAGGAGGAGCAGCTGTGCCTTTAAGAGCCCGCAAAACTCTCTTCACAGTAACTCAAGAAACCTCAGATGCTCGATACTGACAGGAATTCAAATCCAGAAGCTGGGCTTGTTGCATGGATATTCAGCTGCAAAAAGCAGGCACTAACCTAAATCTGGATACATTTAACATTGTGACATATAATGATGAGATCTCCAAACTAAAAAATTTAATTCCATAAGAACATCAAATGAAAAAAACCTCCTTATGTGATAGCATATGACTTAAGATTATCTTTGGCTTTTCGAAAAACCTATATACAGATAGGTTTGACATTTCAGTCAGTAAATCACAGGAATTGTCAGTCACCTATTAATAACTTTAGTAATAAAAAGAGGTTGTAGTTTTGTACTGGAGAGCTATTAATATTATTTTGTTTTCAGCTATTCTGATGACCAGTATATCTAATGGAACATTCATCTGAAGCTATGTAAGACATCTATGCTTCAGTCTACAACAAAAATATACACTACAATTGTACACTTATTATAGCTACACATAAAGGCTGACACTGAAATGTAGTGCAAGAAAAGAAGGACACAGAAACAGCATCGCTATTTTGAAAGAATTATTCTATACTTAAATACAATCTAAGTCTGACAGACTTTTGCATTCTATTCTGATGGACTTGTGCTGTCTACTTGCGGTATGAAAATGGGAAATCTTCTTTCAAGTTGAATTACTGCTTATATAAAACTGATAGGAGTGTGGTCTTGCCAGTTTCTATGCACAGTTGCAGAAGACTGACTGTCTTGTGTACAAATAATAGAGGACAGCATGCAGTAATAAGAAAAAAAAGCACCAAAAAAGGCACAGAACACAGATTCCTCATTTAGACACTTCATTGGGTTTTTGTTAGCTGAGTCACAGCATTTTTCTATAATGTATAGTATGTCAGCTGAGCGCTGCATGCTAAACACAGAAGCCAACAATAATAAAAATTACTTTCCCAGAGATTCGTACACCAGTGTTATTTCCAAAATCTGCAAAGGACCATCGTTTCAGACAAACATGTCAAATTGTGGTGTCTGATGACACTGTGTTCAGTGGTACATTTTGTCTTTAAAGGCTCAGGCAGGATTACAAATGTATTATTTCACAACATATGAAGTATGTGGTTTTTTTCTATCATCAGGACAATGATAACAATAGCACTGCAAGTAAGGACTGTAAATGGTCCAGGCATATCAAATGAGAAGTAAACAAAAAGGAGCAAAGGAAAGAAAAGGCATGTGGCAATTTAGTAAACAGAAGTTGGGGCGTCTCCAGTACCTTCAGCTTCTCCATTTGTAAAGGAAAAATATCTATTTAGTTTAGCACACAACAGTGTTCCATGAACATATCAAATTCCCACACACAACACTTGCTCCATTTCAAATATTTGCTCTTGCACAGTGGAATTTCTTCTCTTACAAAAGAATTATTTTGTATGACTAAAAAGGCAAGTAACTGCTGTCACTGGAGAATGAAGCTTGTTATTTGTCTTCAGATAAGCCACAATATTCCTTTTTATCCATTCTACATAAATTGTAACATTGTACATCAAAAAGCTTGCATTTTCCTATTGAGTTCATGCATGTTCTGAAAATTTCTTTTAAGTAAACTGAGTGAAGAGCACAGCTACCTGAATGTGGCCAAGATGAGACTATAGTGTCTACTCTTCGTGGAATGACTTTGCAATTCCTGTCTTTATTCTAGGGGTAAACCAGGCCAAATTCCACTGAAAAGGCAGTAACAAGTTCAGTCAGATTTATGGCAGTCAGCTATATAACTCCAAAGCTATATACACTGCTGCCATGATCTCTCTGGCTTGCTATTAACAACCCCATTCCTCCCCACCCCCCACCACCAAAGAAAAAAAAAAGGAAAAAAAATTTATTACTTTACAGACAGCATTGAACAAGCCTGAAGAATCACTTTAGGCAAGGACTGCAGGCAGGCAAGGCACCATATCAGTCAGGAAGCAACAATACCATGGCAAGGGAAAAGAGGACACGCAAGGACGAAACCCATGTATTTGCATCTTCAGTAAAGAAAGATGACAACGGAGATCACCTGTAGGAGAAAGTCCTGGAAGCAGGGCACAACAGATGGGAAAAATCTCTAAGCTGACCCAGGGATATGACATGGTTCCACTTATTAGGAAAGGAGTGCACACACTTAACATAGCCTGAAGTTGAAGAATGAGTCACCGCAGTTGTCTTTGATGTGGTACAAGATGCTATCACCAGATTTATATATCTATCAATGTAGAAAGTCTGGCCCTGAAAATTGCAAGATTCCAGGCATTCTGAAAGCACAGCCATGCCTAACTCTTCCACCAACGTGGTAACACAGATAAAAAACATGGTATCACTAAACAGATCAGCAGATGCCACTATAAACTGAAATTAAACCCACCGACTAGACAAGCTCATTCCTGCCTACTTCAAAGTAGGTCTCTTCCCCCATGGGCACAACACATTTCACAAAGATCAGCGCTGACACTTTTTAAATACAGCAAATACCTCTTTCCTAGTACATCATAATCACTACATTTTAGTGAGGGTCATGGGTAAAACTCGGACCAATCATATACATTTCAGGACACAGATGAGGAGTTGCAGAAGAAGAGAGGAGCACCATGGGTGGAGTAACAGCCTCAGCACCGATGCACTTAAAACGCTAAATCACTTAAGAGGCCACACAGTACTGGTAAAATTGATTTTTAAAACTTTTTGCTAAGCCTACACTAATTTCATAACAGGACAAGATGAGAGTACTGCTAATCATGCACTGTAAATACACTGTTTGGTTAACTTCATTCAATAGCCCTTAATTATGAAAAACGACTTTTCAGAAACAGTATGAGCTCACGTGCCCGCTATCACTGTTTAAAAAAAAGAAAAAAGCAAAAAGAAGCAGCCAAATTCATCCACAAGAAAAATTTCATCTCTAAGTACTAATGAGGCTTTTCAGATATAATGTTGCAGTATGTGTGAATCCTCCGCTTTAAAACTCAGAAACAAACAAAAGATGACAGTAACTACTTGTTCGTTACCACAGAACTTCAGAGGGAAGCAGGTTTTTTTAATTAAAGTAATGGAAAGGATTTCCTGAAAACATTCCCATATAATTTTTACAACACTCCTGATATGTACGGAAATCGAGACTTTGTACAAGAAATTCTTTGAAACGTAACACAACATGCCATGTCTTCCTCTCTCACCAGACTTTCAGAAAGCAGTAAGCCTACTTTCAAAAGTAGTAACTCAGTGCACACAAGGTACTTCTTTCTGTCCCCTGTCTCTGGTTCAAGCTGCCTCCAGGCACTTCTTAGCTATTATCTCAACATAAGTCAAAAAGAAATTTAACTCTTTTGCCGGGTACAAAGGAAAAGCTGAAAAAGCATCTGTTAGTGACAGAAAATTGAAGCTCTGTTCGATATTGCTCATATACAAAATGTGTATGAGGGCAAAGCCACTCAAAAGCACACAAATGTTGCTTTAAAGGGAACTTCTGGAGACCTCCAGTCACAGTTCCTGCTTGGGTTAACAATTTCTGCTCGCACTGCACCAGGTGCCCTGTTTGAGGGTTGCTGTTTTCCAGCCAAAAGTCAACTCTCCTTGTGCATGGAGACTCCACAGTGCCTTGGGATAACCTGTTCCAGTGCTGTACTACCTCCCTAGGTAAAAGGTTTATCTTGATCTCTTCTCTGAACCCCTCAAGCTGTGATTTCTAGGTATGGGTTTTTCAAGGTTTGGTCTTACGCTCTGTGCCCCTACCAGGAAGGGTTTAACTTGGTCACCCTTACAACTGCTCTTGGGGCAATTGGAGGCCTGCTACTAAACTACCCCATAGCCTTATCTTTCCCAGGCTCAACAAGCCCAGCCACTCACTCTCCACTCCCTGCCTGCCACCAACTAGATGCTGACATTTCAAGTCTGGCTGTCCAGCCAATTTTCAGCCTACCTAACAAGCAGCCTGTTCTTCCCAGACATTGTGCCTCGAGTACCACAAGCAATGCTTTTGAAGCACACAGGGTTTGTTTTCAGCTTTTCAAGTAGTAAGAAAAGAGAACTTCATACAGGTTTGCTATATGAAGATAGTTTTCCTAAAAGGTATCGTTGGTGACTTTTCTGGGTTAAATCCCTGAGAAACATCTA